ACTTGGAGATGCTTTATTGCAAAGACGTGTAGCCTCAAGAAAGACCAGAGTCTTTTAGCTCATTAGGCACGAGGCATGCGTGATCAAGTGATCAAAGGGGACTCGTGGTTTGATGATGGCGTTATAACCGTATAGACACATGGTCTTGAGAGTGTGTAGCCTCACGAGCACGTGTCTTATGGTTGATTTAAGTCGTTTGGTCTTGAGGGCACATGGTCTAACCAAGTGATCAATCTGTCAGTATGCCTCATGAGCATGATGTCGTTATGTTTATGAGCAAGAGTTTGTAGCCTGAAACAATGCATAGACTTTGGGGCGTACTAACAAAGTTACAGTGAGCAGAGACCTTGGTCTAATAGATAACGATCACGTAGATTTGCTTGTTATGGCCATGTCGATGAAGAAGATCTTCTTGGGTTGTCTTCATGCTTACAAGCAGGAGAATTGTGGGGGGGGGGGGCTAATCTATTTTTATTACAAATTTATTAATATTTTCATCAATTTTACAAATACGTTTTAATTATAGTAATGGTTTAGTTTAGAAAAAAAAATTACAAAAAAATTTATGTTGCTAAAAAGGAGAAACCTAAGAAACAAGGTTTATTTTTTTTTAAAAAAAAATATATATATATATATTCAAGGACCATCTCCATTGAGTTTACAAAGAAAAATATTTCCGTGATGAAAATGAGAGTACAATCATGCATAGCCGTCGTGCCTATTCCTACATGCGCACAAAAACCGAGGCCGACCTGTGGGCTCTCTTCTGGGCAGTGGAATGTTTGCACAATTTACATTTCTCGAATATTATATTTGAGACTTCGTCGGAGTGCTTACATGACGTTTGTACGAAACCAAATGAACACCTCAGCCACAGCCATATTTGTCACAGTATCTTCTTACTCTGGCAAGGTTAGATTCATGGAGTTTGGATCACGTTCTTCCGGATCGAAATGAAACTGCAGCGGCTATTGCTTTAAATGTCACTCGTGATCGGCGCCACCAGTCATATATCGCCCGGAATGCTCTAGCGTGGCTACATAACCTACTCGCTTTGGCGACTCAGTAATAAGGGGATTTGGTAAGACCTCTTCCAATTTGTGTTGGTGTCTACTGACATTTCATTTTCTCCTTATTAGTTTGCCATTTTTGTATTATCTCGAACTCTGTATCTCTATCAGTGTAATAAAAAAAATATATATTTATGTAACTGAATGACCATCTTCAATGATCTCTTACGATAGTATAGATTACAAAAAAAAAAAAAAAAATCAAAGTTTTAGTTTCCAAGCGGCAATAATCACAATGATTATAATGACCAAGGATTCTGTCGGTGAAAGACATCTTTCGGCTTCTAGGTTAATTAACTAGAAATTTTCTCATGCTTTTCATCTATAATTGTTGGAGACTTTGCCATTGTGATTAGTTAACATCAGTTTTACTGTTATAGAAGATTCATATTTTTAGAAACTCGATCATTAATTGCTAAATCAACTTCTCTTTTAGTCGGTGCCCCGGTGGCATATCAAAAAGAGAGAGAAACGGCTCTTTTGCCTCCTTTCCTTTTATATTTCGTTTTTTTGTTTCTCTTCTCTTACTTGGTCGAATATTCTAAAATTTTGAATTTAATGCGAAAAGAGAAGAAAAACTGAAAAACAAGCTGAATTGGTAGAACATTATTATAAACACTAGTTGCATACTCCCCGTGCAGGCGCGGGGCCGAAATCATTATGTTTGCGTATATTTTTTTTGATTTAGTGGTTTAGTGGATTTTTCTAATGACACCAAATATTAATGAAATGGAAAGAATGTAGTAAGAGTGTAAAGTGAAAATATTGTATATCTAATATGTTAAATGTTATTTATATGCGAAGTAAGGTTTATAGGAACAGTTAGGTTATAATATAGTTTTTAGTGTGTAAAAGTAGGTGTCTATTTTTTTTTTTTTTGCTGTAAATAGTTTTTATATCGTATGTCAAAACTTGATATAATTCTATATTTATAGTATTTATATTTGTATTAAACGATTTATCAATTTAAAAATAACCTTAATTAAGTTAATATTCGTTGTTTAAGTTTCATTAGATAGGTTTTTATATATGGTTTTTTGTAAGTTTGCATTTTGTTCATAAATGATGGGGCATTTTTATCTACGGCGTCATCGAGGAATCCATTCCCCGAAGTCTAGAGTCGATGGTGAGGAATGTTTTCAATGAAATTATAGTAGTTATTAAAATGTAAGAGAAATTACATATTCATTTAATAAATAACGAAAAATACTTAAATTTTGTTGTTTATTTTATTTTATTTCACATACAATTTTTTTGAAAATATATTAGGAATGAGTTAAATGTTATTTATATGCGAAGTAAGTTTATAGGAATAGTTAGGCTATAATATAGTTTTTAGTGTGTAAAAATAGGTGTTTTGTTTTTGCTGTAAATAGTTTTTATATCGTAGGTAAAAATTTGATATAATTCTATATTTATAGTATTTATATTTGTATTAAACGATTTATCAATTTGAAAATAACCTTAATTAAGTTAACATTCGTTGTTTAAGTTTCATTAGATAGGTTTTTATATATGTTTTTTTTGTAACTTTGAGTTTTGTTCATAAATGATGTGGCATTTTTATTTACGGCGTCATCGACTGTGGGAATCCATTCGCCGGAGTCTGAAATCGGTGGTGAGGAATGTTTTCAATGAAATTATAGTAGTTATTAAAATGTAAGAGAAATTACATATTCATTAAATAAATAACGAAAATAATTAATTTTTGTTGTTTTTTTATTTTATCTNTTATAGTAGTTATTAAAATGTAAGAGAAATTACATATTCATTAAATAAATAACGAAAATAATTAATTTTTGTTGTTTTTTTATTTTATCTCACATACAATTTTTTTGAAAATATATATTAGGAAATATGTGCAATGATTTCACTTTTTGAGCTCTTAATCTATATTATTCAAGCCTCATTAAGCCATCCACGTAGGTAGCCGCGTGAGATTAATTTTTTTTTTTGGTCGGTTCGTTTTTGGATTCATTTTTTATTATTTTTGGGTTGAACTATATTATAATAGGATAGTTTTAAGGCTCTTTAAGCCATCCGCGTAGGCAACAGCGTGAGACTTGCTTTTGTTTTTGTTTTTTTATTGTTCGTTTTTGCATCCATTTTTAACTATTTTTAGTTTGAACTTGTTAAGCTTTAGGGTTTATCCAACTATTTTGATCTTTAAAACAATAAGTCATAAAAAAAAACATAAAAACCTTACAAACAAAAAGCCCATACGATAATAACCCGAATAAAAAAAATCAAAAATAAATGATGGCTGCGTGGTTTGAACCCACAATCTTGCATGTTTAATTAGACACCTTATACCACTTGGCTAAAGTGTATTTCATTGTTTGTAATCATCTTATCAAGACTATAAGTTTTTAAAAAATACCTATGTGACCCACAAAACTGCTGACGTGGCGTGTTGTGGAGCCTAGAAAGTGTACTATTATAATATAGATCATGCTTTATATTATCCAATCAACATTTGCTAAATAATCATTTAGAAAAATATTTACTAAATGCTAATGATTTATAAATACTCTTTGCTCATTGATCTCATCTAGAGTTTTTGGGAGAACATTTAAAAAATAGAACATATAAACTTAAAAATAATAATATTTAATTTGTATTAATAAAGTAGAAAATATTTTTTAATCAAAAAATAATTTATTTTTAAAAAATAAGAATAAAAATTATAATTAATATTTGTAGATTTGTAAAAGAACAATACTTCACATTTAAAACATAATACAATTTATATAATTACAGATATCGTTCATTATTTTTAATAACAAACATAACATAATATCTATTTATATATTACAGATATAAATATATTATTTAGACACTAATAAATAAATTATATACATATGTTGATTTTTATGATAATTTGTATATGAATCATTTACTGCTTTATCAATGAATAAATAATAATAATTTATATATAAATTTGATTCAATTAATTAATTTATTTAATAATATTAAAATCTGTTTATATCCCAAAATAATTTAATATTTTTAAATAAATTTTACATTTTTAAATAATAACATTTCACATATAAGTTATAATATAATTTATGTAATGAATAAGACTTAATAACAAATATATTATTAATATATATTATAAATATTTAAATATTACATTTAAAAATATATATTATTATATTAACTATTATGATAATTTTAAAATTGTATACTGCTACTGATCTGCAAATCACTTTATTAAAAATTTTAATGAAAACTTACAGCTTCTGCAGCATACTGCTTCTACAACATATTGGTACTGTTTTATCATTTGCTGTACCAATCAAGGCCTAGGTTTAGAGACAAATAGATGCCTGGAAAATGTACTTTTAAAAATTCTTATGTGTCATCATTACATTTATTTTATAGAAAAAGCTAACATAACTAGTGAAAAATATATGACATATACAATTTTAATGATAAGTTTAGAATAAAATCATAAATAAAATAATACCTAAATTTGGTTTACTTACCATAAATTTATATTACATGCATATTATTATTAAAATACTAAAATAATATGGTTACAAGTATAAAGAAAATTCTAGAATATCCCTAAAAAATATTTATGATGTGCTATTAAAATGCTTATGTGTCATCATTACATCTATTTTATAGCAAAAACTAACACAACTTAGTGAAAATGTGATATAACATGTACATTAAATGATAAGTTTAGAATACAATTTATAGATAAAATAATGCCTAAATTTGGTTACTTACTATAATTTTATATTAAAAGACATATTATTATTAAATACTAAAATAATATGGTTACAAGTATAAAGAAAATTTCAATTTTAATTTTAATCCAAATATATAGAAATTTAAAAATTAAACTTCTTTAATTATATTTAAATTCATTAATCAGCTTGTGGAGATTTGATCATAGGTGGTTGGAATGTTCCCAAATATTTAATAGGTGAAATAGCCTGACTTTTCCGAGGCGGCTAAATCAGAGTTGGTCCTTGCAAAAGAGTTGGTCGTTGCATAAAAAGGCACTTTGGGAGGAGGATCTGCGCTGGTCCTTGCAATTGGAGGTATATCTCTTACATGCCAATTTCTAATAAAATAAGCCGGTATATCTCCTACACGGTTCATCTTTTTAAACCAATGACCGATGGTCTCAACTCCAAGATATATAGGAAAAGAGTACCATCAAAGATCCACCAGCAACGGAGACAATGGCCGGAAATAACCATCTTGTTCCACTCAAAAGCGGTATGGTCACCCAAGACGCCGCTACATAAGCCGTTGCCATAAACCCTACAGAAACCCACATCATCCTGTGCGTGACTACTAGTAATCTCTTCAAGGGTTTCCTCTTGTAAGGTATAATGCTAACAAGAAGAATAACAATGCACAATGAGGTGAAGAGTGCGATATTGTTGCATATTGCAAAGACTTTAAACGGTGTCGTATTGCCTACGATCGATTTGCCTCTCCATGGCCCATCATTGTAGACGCCGCCCGGAGGGTTAATCCCACCCGCATAAGAAACTGATGCAATCAGGACTGCCACTATCGCAATCGTATTTCTTGCATTTTGTAAGGCTTCTATATGCATCTCTCGTTCCAAGCTTCTACGACCTCTTTCAACTGCCCCCTTCTTGCTTCGTTTTATATGTGCTATCTTTGATATGTTCATTTCTATTAACCTAAGCAACCCTATTACGTCGTTCTCTTTTGAGCTTCCGGAGATATCTAAAGATTTAACGCCTTCTTGAGATCGTTTATTGTATGGATTAGAGCGCCCATCTTGTTCTTCACTGCTAAGATCAGAATCCAACTTGGTATCTGAACTCAGCAAAGTTGATAATAACTCAAAGTCTTCGGCTTCTTGTTGGAGAAGGTGGAAAGCTGCAAGACCCATCTTGTTCCTATAGTTGATATGTATTATCTTCTTACCAACAATGTATCGTACCAACTACAATTTGTTCAATAAGAAATATGTCAGAGCAGATACCACCAAAAAAGTATGTAAATACAATAAATTGTGAGGCCAATATGATTTTATTTTTCAATTTCTCTAACATGATAAGGGATTAACTCGGTTGTAGGAGTTCATGGATGCGAATATTAGCGATTTCAAGCATTATTTAACAATTTGTACGATTGGCATATTAATTAGAAATGAGTGCGTTTGTATGATATTTAATTATAACTAATTGATTAACAAATACAATAATTATTTAATAATATTATGTATTTATAATAATATCAAAATAAGATTAGGGAACACCGAACACCCCTATAAATTATAATAATTGACTTTTTATCATTAAATAATTAGCACACAATAGAGAAAATTCTTAAAATAAAATTATTAAAGAGAATCATCTTCTCAAGCTTCCTCATTAATTTACCTAAATTATTTATTGTATTTCATAATTTTGTATGCATTTATGTAATTTCTTTACTATCTAAGTAATAAATTTATGTTGTCAAAAAAACCCCAAATCATAAATACTAAATTCTAAAGTCTAATTATGATCACCAACGTTCGAAACTCCATCTGCCCATTACACCATTTGTTTAAGTTCAAAAAATAGTCTAATTATGATATCTAAAACTCAAATGTAATATATATATATATATATTCTTATATATATTGTACAATATATCATATACATATATATCTAAAATATTAATATATTTAAGGTATTGTTTAGTTGTAAGTTGGGATATAATTACTTCTACTTTTTTAACAAATGATATTTTAGAAATTTTTATTTCTTTGTTATTTGGGATGTCAAATATTTAATCGTTGAAACTATAAAGAGTCATTTTAATGAAAACTGCAAAATAATATTATAGCACATGTTATGTTGTACAAACACGAAATCATAATCTTAAAATAATACTCTCTCCGTTTCATTTTATTTGTCATTCTAGGTTTTTACACACAGATTAAGGAAATATTTAATTTTACATATTTTTAAGATAAAAACACAATTACCTATACACCTAACCACTTTAAAACGACACTTAATTTGTGACAAAAAAATAAGTCTAGAATGACATATATTTTGAAACGGAGGGAGTATATAATATATTAAAGCAGTTATGAAATTTATGTTATTTTAGTTTGATGTCTATTAATTACAATAGTTTAGTGGAAAAAATAAGTTCATATGAACTTTGATGTCTATAATATTTATAATATAAGCCTTTTTCAAAAAAAAAAATTATTTATAATATATTTTATAAATTTTATATAAAGAATCAGATTTAGATAATCGATAGATTCATTTTGTGTCGCGTTAAATTTTGATTTTGAAACTAAAACGCTTAAGGTTTATAAAGCTGACAACAACATAGAACTACTCACCTGAGCACCACAAGACATGGAAGCAGCGATATGTAAGACAGTATTGCCATTAACATCTACTTGCTGCAGAAGTTTTTGGCTGTTAATGCCCAGACTCTCTGCCATGAAAGTGAAGGCATCTACGTTTTTGTTTCGTGCAGCGAGATGAAAGACTGACTCCTTCGATGGCGTGAGAGAGCTGAAGGACAATGGAGCCTTTTCCAGGAACTCTTCCAGGACTACAACGTGGCCTCTCAGGACCGCCAGATGCAGAGGCGATAAACCGTGGGTGTTAAGAGCTTTTTCTAATCCTTGATCGAGCCCTAGCAATATACTTATCAGTTCAAGGTCTCCTTTATCACACGCATAATGTAATAGCGTCGTTAGCGAGTCTTCCACCAACCAGGCTAATTGCCTAGCTAGATCTGGGAATCTCTCCAGTACTATCCTCGTAACACCTGACAATGGTCCCATCAAACACAAAGGTGACCAAGGGAGTTCATACAAGATTACAAAAAGAATGTTAAGAGTGGGCACAAGAAACTTTCTTTTGTCACATATATGCAAGTAAATGTGAGATCCTCGCTGAATCTCTTAAAAAGGAAAAGTAGAATGAGCCAAACATTTTATAAGAAATTCAACATTTTTAATATTTTAGAAAAATAAATAAATTATCTTAAATTCATTTTGAAATTTTATATATTTTATCTGCAAATAGTTTACCAACTGCTTCTTAAGAAAGCATTAGGAAACTTGCTAATACTCTACTAATCAAGTCCTCAGTAACATCCGTTTATTTTACATCACTCGAACACTGATAAATGAAAAGATATATGAAATCTGGTCTATTAAATAATTATATAAAAATTCCAAAACTCTAAAATTTCAAATACATATAAAAATATTCATATATAAATTTAAATTTATCAATACTAAAATTTTATATTTTAATTACATACATTCATCATTTTCGATGTGAGCTACTTTATTCTTAAGAGAGAGTACACTATAATGACAAGAATTGATTGCACAAGAAACTTACAAGTGGATCCACTTGATATGGCAAATTTGAGTTCATCGAGACTGACGAAGGGTGTCTTTTCCGCAAATAATCTGCCAGCCTCCGAGGAAATGCTGCGGCAAACTAAATGGAGAGGTGTTTGGTAGTTGTTGTTTCGTGCGGAACACGTTTCGCATCCAAACTCTAACAACGTCCTAACTGTGTTTACGTCTCCAAGGAGTGCAGCGAGATGCAACGGTGTGTTTCCGTGTGCGTTGCGGGAAAAGATGAGGGAAGGTTTGAGCTCAATAATCTTGGAGACGAGTTCTCCATGCCCATGCTTCGCAGCCATGTGCAACACCGTGCTGTTGTCTTGTTCCACGTTTCTCTCCTCCAGCCACGATTCTCTCTCTTCCACCAACTCAAGAAAAGCTGGAATGTCATTCTGAATGATCGCATTGAAGATGGGCTGCATCTTTCCTCAACACTTGCTAGCTAAAAGCAAAAGTTTAATCAGCGAGGGACGTCCTGAATGGTTATTTCTCTTTATAGTGAGTTAGCATAGACTATAAGAGTTTTTTTTTTTTTTTTGAAAAGACTATAAGAGTTGACGTTTTACAATAACAAAAATATATAAATTCGAATTGACATTCAGTTTGGCTTCTGGTGTGATGTTGAATCTTCATGTTTCATTGTTTCTTGACTTTCTGGCCAATATTTTTACAATACCCATATGCTTTCAGACTAAAACCCGTTATTATTCAAACGCGTTAATTTCACCGGTTCTTTTTTCTTTCCTTGTCTTTTCCACAAAAAAAAATGTTCATCTTCATACATTGAAAAATAAGACGTGACAGAACAAAAATTGAAATCTTGAGATAACCAAATGATGTTTAAAAGTGAAAAAATAGCTGGGTTACAATTTACGAATACCAACAAAAGAACTAATTATATAGGAGTATCAGACTTTTCTAGTTAAACAGACCTTGCTGGCGATTATTAGACTTATTTTGTTAAACAAAACCTTTAGTCAGCAATAACCCTCAAACTCGAATTAATGCTAGACGAGAAGAATTGCGTATGGAAACCGTCGAAATGATTATTGCATGGGCCATGCAGAGAATCATATTGGCTTCTCTTTTGTGATACAGTCAAATAGTCAATAGTCGTTGACTAGAGACTTGCATTAATTTCAAAGTTTGAAGTTGAGTTTTAATGACTTTTAAAGTATGTTACATGGAAATGAAAGCGGGTGCTTGGAAGTGTAATCATATAGAAACGTGGAATCAAAATTTCTATAAAGAATTAGGAAGCGGGTACGTGTTGGAAGCGTATATATATATAAAAGAAAATTTTATAAAATGTATATCTAAGAATTACTATATGATTCTAATTTAAAATAAAACATTTATTCATTTATTATAATTTTAAATGATTGCGTATTATAATTGTAAAAATAAGAGTAAATTAAGTTTATAACCAAGTATTACCAATTAGTTTTTTTTATATTTTATAAATAACTGGCACAACATATTTAAATATATATATGATATATCTCTAATAAAAACAGTGCATACATATGGTTTATAGTATTAATTTTAGTAATTAAATATATATATTCTCATTATATATACTATTATATACTATAAAAACATAAAAATAATTTTATAATTTATTGATTTATATATGATATTGTGTTTTTTAAAATTGGAAGCATGATTTCAAAGTGGAATCGTAAGTTTCCAACTTGTTTTTATATAGGATATTTTAAAACCGTTTTGGAATCGAGATTCTACAAGCTTCCACAAGGTTTCGATTCCGATTCCGATTCGAAGCGGGAATCATACGTTCGCTGAAACTTCCGTGCAACGTAACTTTTAAATACATCTCTATCTTCTAAAGGGCCAAAAACTCAAAAATCTTGGATTAAAAATTTACCAAAGATTCAAAATTAAAATAATCGCGTATCTCTGCTCCTGAAAATAGGTGTAGTGAGTCATGAGACACGACATATTTTGAACCATTTACGTTTCCATTTTGTTGGGATTCAAATACCATAGTTTTTAAAATGGGCAGCCCTATTAGTTTGGGTTTTAAAATTTTTGGAATTCTAAATATTCGGTTTAAGGAAAGAACAATCATCTATAAAGCCGAAGAAAACAAGGTAACCGTTTGAAGAGAAGCTTGCGTCTCTTCTTCTTCCTTCTTCAACGGTACACTTTTGAATCCAAATTTTTCTGTGGAGTTTTTCTTCTTCTCTCTGATTAGTACTGTTTGTTTGATTTAGATTTCGTTTCTATCTTAAGAGAACCTCATTTCTATGTGGATCGAAATGTTATGCGAACTAGCGTATTAATTAGATTTGCTTGTTTTAGCATAGCAGTAACTGGTTTAGTTAGTTAGCTGGTTAAGGGATCTGGAATCGTCTGGTTTATTCTCAACTTAATTATGATGTAAACCAGACGATTTAGACAGATAAACACGATAAGATCATGCTCATTCACCATCAATAATTGAAATAATAGTTTCGGTGTATCTTATTAGTATGGCAATCGCCTGTTTATATACAACCATAAGAGAATCCTAATCCCCTAGGACTTAGGTAATTACACCATTATCTCAATGATAGTAGGACTTATCAAAATATCCTAGTAGTTATCTTATTACTGTCCCTCAAGTTGGAAAAGTGAGGTTCCAAACTCCCAATTTGGACAGAAGACCTTCAAAGAGAGGTCGGGGAAGTGACTTTGTAAGCATGTCGGCAAGCTGATTCTTTGATGTAGCATGTTCTGTAGTGATAAGCCTTGATTTAACCGCATCTCTAACATGGTGGCAGTCTCTCTCGATATGTTTTGTGCGCTCATGAAATACCGGATTTGCTGCAATGTATATAACAGACTTGCTATCACAGCAAAGAAGAATAGGAGACGTATGAGAAAAGACCAAATGAAACGAGCAATTTTAAACCACTTCAACTCTTTAACTGCTTCAGACATAGCACGGTACTTTGCTTCTGCAGAAGATAAGGCCATTGTATCATGTTTGTTTGCTCTCCACAAGGAGACTCACCAATGAAGTTAATAAGTTTATTAAAAAACTTGATTTTATGAATTGATTTTATTAATAAACTTAATTGATTTTAATGAATTGGGGTTAACTTTAATAAATTACAAATTGAACCATTAACTTAAACTAAAATCAATTAAACCTGATTGTGATGTTTCCACCATATAATCAATTAAACTTAGTGTAATTGTTGACACATTTTCATAGATTGGATGGTTTTCACCATATTAGAGTACACTTCGTATAGCTGAGAAACTTTTTCTCAAGATTCAATAGGTGAAATAGCCTGACGCTTCCGAGGCGGCTAAATCAGAGTTAGTCCTTGCAAAGGAAGGCACATTGGGATGATCTCGGCTGGTACTTGCAATGGGAGGTTTATCTCCTACACGGTTCATCTTCTTAAACCAATGACCGATGGTCTCAACTCCAAGATAAGAAAAGAGTACCACCAAAGATCCACCAGCAACGGAAACAATGGCCGGAAATAACCATCTTGTTTCATGAAAATGTGGTATGGTCACCCAAGACGCGGCAACATAAGCTGTTGCCATGAATCCTACAGAAACCCACATCATCCTGTGCGTGGCCACCAGTAATCTCTTCAAGGGTTTCCTCTTGTAAGGTATAATGCTAACGAGAAGAATAACGATGCACAACGAGGTGAAGAGTGCGATGTTGTTGCATACTGCAAAGACTTTAAACGGTGTCGTATTGCCTACCATCGATTTACCTCTCCAAGGCCCATCTTCGTAGACGCCCCCTGGAGGGTTAATCCCACCAGCATAAGAAACTGAAGCAATCAGGACTGCCACTATCGCAATCGTATTTCTTGCATTTTGTAATGCTTCTATATGCATCTCACGTTCCAAGCTTCTACGACCTCTTTCAACTTCCCCTTTTTTGCTTTGTTTTATATGTGCTATTTTTGATGTGTTCGTTTCTATTAACCTAAGCAACCGTATTACCTCGTTCTCTTTTGAGGTTCCGGAGATATCTAAAGATTTAATTCCTTCTTGAGACCGTTTACTGTATGAATTAGAGTGGTCATCGTGTTCTTCACTGCTCTGATCAGAATCCAGCTTGGTATCCAACATTAGCAAGGTTGATAACAACTCAAAGTCTTCCGCTTCATGAGGGAGAAGGTGCAAAGCAGCAAACCCCATCTTGTTTCTATAGTTGATATCTACCATCTTCTTACCAACAATGTAGCGTATCAGCTACAATTTATTCAATAAGAAATATGTCAGAGTAGATAATACCAAAAAATAATGGCAAATCTGAATCATTTTTTTCTTCATTATTATTTCTATAAACTAAATATATAATTTTTTTATTAAACTTACTAGAAATCGACTAAAGAAAAAAAGGAAAATAGACTAAATAAAAAGGGATTAATAATACTCTCTCCGTTATGATTAATTGTCGTTCTAGCATAAATTTTTTATTGCAAAATATATACCATTTTATGTTTCCAATACAATATTTACTATTGTTTTATCTCTTTTGTCACTAATTAAACTAAAATAAATATTAAATATTATGTAATTGTAATGGTTAAACAAAGACTTTAATGATAATTTAAGAATCTATAAACCAACAACACTAGATTCTAAAATTCTAAGTATCATTATAAAATCAAAGTTTTAAGAGGTGAATCTGTAAATAATACATGAAGTAACATTTATTTAATATTAAGCTTCTATTTAATAGATTGGATATGTCCATGAGAAAGTTAAAATTTGAAAAAACTAAAAAATCTAATCTATTAATTTAAAAAGCTTACATTTTATCTACTGTTGACAAGTCATAGTAGGACCACTTAATTAACCACTTAATGTGACATTTGATTATTTACATTAAATTCTAATAATAAATAAAAATATTAATAATAAATCAATTTTAATTAGAAGTTTGGATTTAATTTTTAGATATAACAAAATCTGTCTAGAAAAATCTAACAAAATCCCACTAAATGTTTAAATATTTTTTTATCAAATAATGCAGTATAATTTCATAATTAGTAATGTAATCATAGTATAAATTAATGCTAACTAATATTTTATCATAAAAAAAAAATTAAAAAAATCTATGCTATTTTATAGTTATAGCCTAATTATATTAAATTATATGTTTTCTATAAATTAAATATGAGAATATTATATTAAATTTGAAGATTAAATCTTTAAGATGGTTTCATTTAAATAAATTATCATTCATCGCCAAAAACGGGTTAAATTTTGTAAACTATGTAATATTTTATACAAAAATTAAAATTATATAAACTTTTATATCTACAGCTATATATTATCATTTTATTTATTTTGAAACTAACAGCAATATATTATCTATAAATAATTATATACAAAATAATTAAATAAAAATATTAGTGACAAATAAATTTTACTTATAAATTAGATTTTCCTTAATTATAACAAAATTTGTTGAGAAAATATAAAAAAATCTTACCAAGTATTTAAAAATATTTTTTTCTAAATTAATCTAGTAACAAAAAAATTCAAAAATCATATAACTTCAAAACTAAAAAAATTTATTGTGTAATTTCAAAATTTCTTTTAAACAAGTATACAATTTTCAAAAATATATATTCAAATTGAAAAATGATAATATTCCAAATTTTATAAATTATTAAATCATAGATACTACAATATTTTTTTTTGAAATGTCACAAAACAAATTATGTTGTAAAGTATCAAAAATAATATAACATTTTGAAATTTAAATTTAGTAATAAATCAGAAAACTTAATACCATAACTCCCAAAAATATCATATACTGATAAAATTTACTAAAATGATATGATAGATATTAATATGTCTACAATTTAGTAAAACAATAGAGATATATTATTTAAACTTAAAAATGTATTTACTTATAAAATCTCGCAAAATATTAACTAGATAGATATTAAAGTATTATTTTTTAAACACAACATGGAATATAAATTATCAGAATCAAGTATATATCCATCTACAGTATAACTAAATAAAATTTAAAAAGGTATTGTATGCCAATTGTAGAAACTAAAAACCTATATTAAAGTAGATTACATATTTGATTATTTAAAATTATAGTTTATGTATCAGACTAAAATATATATTAATAAATAAGCACAAACAATAAAAATATAGATTGTATAAAACATATCAATATATATTAATAATGACGAATAAAAAGTCTAAAATTTAAGATTACAAAGTTATACAGTATATAACAGTAGATGCAAATCATATATTTTAAATTTCTATGATAGTATCAATGTTATATATTTATAAATGAAAGTTATCCGCATGATTGTGCGGGGCAATCTCTAATAAATTCTTATGTTCAGTAAACTACCTGTAGTATATAATCTATGGGAAGTCAAATTTTGTTACTAAAAAGGCTTTATAAAGTGGACAGTGACTCTGTGACAAAAAAAGAAAAAAGAAAAAAAAAGAAAAAAAGGGACAGTGACATAGGAAACTACTCACCGGAGCACCATAAGACATGGAGGCAGCGATATGTAAGACAGTGTTTCCATTAACATCTACTTGCTGCAGAAGTTCTTGGCTGTTAGTGCCCAGACTCTCTGCCATGAAAATAAAAGCATCTATGTTTTTGTTTCGAGCAGCGAGATGAAATACTGTCTCATTGGACGGTGTGAGAGAGCTGAAGGACAATGGAGCCTTTTCCAGGAACTCTTCCAGGATTACAACCGGACCTCTTAGAACGGCCAGATGCAGAGGCGATAACCCGTTGGTGTTAGTAGCTTTTTCTAGTCCCTGATCGAGCCCTAACAATATCCTTGTCAGTTCAGGGTCTCCTCTATCACACGCATGATGCAATAGCGTCATTGGCGAGCCTCCCACTGACCAGGCTAATTGCTTAGCTAGGTCTGGGAATTTCTCCATTATAATCCTTGCAACATCTGACAATGAGCCAGTGAGTTTATACACGATCGCAAAAATTGTTGAGCGTGCACAAGAAACTTACATGTGGATCCACTTGATATGGCGAAGTTGAGTTCATCGAAGCAGACAAAATGTGCTTTTTCCACAAGCAATATGGCAGTCTCCGTGGAAATGCTGCGGCAAGCTAAATGGAGGGGTGTTTCGTAGTTGTTGTTCCTTGCGGAACAAGTTTTCCGTCCAAAGTCTAACAACGTCCAAACTATGTTTACGTCTCCAAGGAGAGCAGCGAGATGCAACGGTGTGTCTCCGTTTGCATTAACGGAAAAGATGAGGGAATGTCTGAGCTCAATAATCTTGGAGACGAGTTCTTCACGCCCATGCTTTGCAGCCATGTGCAACACCGTGTTGTTGTCTTGTTCCTTAGTTCTCTTGTTCAGCCACGACTCTCTCTCTTTCACCAAACCCAAAAAAGTTGGAATGTCATTTCGACGGATTGCATCGAAGATCGGGTGCATCTTTCCTTAAGAACCAAAACAAAGAGTAAGAAAAGTTGTAATTAGCCAGGGAGATCCCGAGTGGTTATACTGTCTTTTTATAATGAATTAGCGTGGACCATAAGAGTAGACGTTTTACGGTAATAACAGCTTGATGTTGAATATTCACTTTTCTATATGCTTACAAAGTACAAACTAAAACGCGTTGCTATTCAAACGCGTTAATATCACTGGTTCATGTTTCTTTCCTTATCCTTTCCACGAAAAATAACCAAATTTCAGTAGACATATGTACAATTTTACCAAAAAATGAAAATTGTGTACTCATCTTCATACATTTTTATAACACGTGAAATGACTAAAATTGAAATCTTAAGATAAACGATGTCTAGTTGTTTAAGTGTGAATTTCTTTTCCATTTTTCATTTTTAAATGGAGTAAAAAAGTGAGTGAACCAATTTCATGCTACACATCATTTTGGTGAATCATGGTGATAGTTTCTTTTTTTTTTATAAATATTATTTTTATTTGTGAAATCTCTAAAGTGTAAGTGTAAGATGCGATTTAATAAAATAAATCAGAGCCAATAGATATGAAGCAAATACCTTTTACTTTATTAAAACTCACTCAAAAGCGATTTTGACAAGATTTAGTTAATCAGCCCATAACAGAAATTCAATCTCTCTAATTACTTTTCTTGGAGATAATTTAGACGTGTCTATCCCACCCGGACCCTCATAAAGTAACAGGCCCTCTGGAAAGTAGAGAAATGTTTTTATAATGTGTGTGTTTTACCAAATTTCAACCTTATGTAGTATATTATCAATTCAAATTTTGTACTTAGAATTGTTGTATATTGTTAGACAAACGGCTGCACAAAAAAAAATGTTAGATAAACCTTGCTTATTAGACTTGTTCTATTAACAAAACTTTGAGTAAATAAATTTTGAGAAGGCATTAATGCAATAACGCTCTACCATTCAAACTCGAGTTTTTATGAATACCCCAATCAACCCTATGTAATGGAAACCGCCGGGTGATTATTGTATGGACCATACAAAGAATCATAATGAATTTTCTTTGTGAGATACAGTCAATTGTCGCTGACTAAAGACTTGCACTAATTTTAAAAGTTGAAGTTGGTTTCAACGACTTTTAAATACCTAGTCCCAATGGCCAAAACTGCAACGGCCAAAACTACAACGTCCAAAACTTTTAACATCCTACATTTTTTTTAACACTCTACATAATCTTCTCTCTTTTACCTAATTATTTAACATCCACTTTATTTTTCATCTTTACAATAGTTTTGTTTAACAAAATTCAACACTCTGCTCCATTATTTTTAATTAATTGTTAATTTAATAACTACATATTAATAATAATTCTGATTGTAATTAACTTAAAAATTAAATAAAAATCATTCCTATTTTAATTAACTTAAAAATTAAATAACATAAAATTTTAACAATTTTAGTTTATGTTCTAATTTATGTTCGTAACTAATTATTTAAAAACAATACTAAAATAAATATTATTAAAAAAATTACATTATGAAACTTCAAATACAAGATACAAACATATAAAACAACAAATAAAAACATAAAACTTAATGGTACAATAGACTTAATTTAAACAAGAAAACTCTTAAATCACAGAAAATTCAAAAAAAAATTAATCTTGGAACCTTCCAAATTTTGCCCATATGTGTTTGACTAGATCTGCTTGCAGTTCGTGATGTACATTTGAATCACATAGTTCAGATCTAGCACGCACATGATTTGCAAATACAGTAATACCTCAGTTGAAAATGGATGTGATGTATTAGAACCACTTGCCTCAAATTGATTATAAGCGGTCCAATGTTGAGCATATATATCTCGTTCATCCTTATTAATCATATTATGCAATATGATACATGGTTGCATGATGATAGCCAAATCAGATAAGTCTCACATATGAGCTGGTTCACGAATGATTTTGAATCGAGCATGTAACAGTCCATATGTACGTTTGATATCCTTCTGATATCCTTCTTGATGTTTTGCAAATAACTTATCTAGTTCATTTTGAGGAAGTCGGATTGATTTAACAAAAGTTGGATAGGAATGATAGATACCATCAGCAAGATAATATGCCATGTCATACGGACGTTGGTTGACAAAAAGTTCACTCTTAGAGTATTTCCTTATTCAACATCATCAAACACTAGCGAACGATCTAGAACGTTGATATCGTTTAATGTGTCTGAGAATCCGAAAATGCATGTTAAATCCATAGATCATGAAAGGCAACAACTTCAAGTATAACACTGGTGGTTCCCTTATCGCCCCTTGTAAACTGACATTCCCACGCCGTTGGTCAATTTTTTGATTCCCAATGCATGCAGTCAATACTTTCGTTGACCGATTCCAAGGCTGTAGCTTTTGTTTTTTTTTTTTTACCTTTTTTTGCTGCATATATCCCCATTGGAAATGCACTAAATCCTACAGAATTATAGTCACTTGCATCACTCTCGCGGATTCTCTTTGCATCATCCTCCTACTTGACTATCATAGCGTGGTTGATCACGGACATCGAGCCATTCTAACACTAAATTGAAATGATCATTCTTACCACTTGAGTATAGTTCATGCGCTTTAGCTAAAACATCATTCTCTGACCACCCGTTCTGCTGCATACGTATAGCATTATCATAAGTACCAATCCATTTGTCCAATATTTTGTTCATGTAGTTGTAATGATTCCCGCACGAAGCTCTATCACGAAGAGGATCGAATGAGCAATGTTCGTTACAATACTCCGTAGTTTGTCTCCGATATGACTCACTTTATTGGTTTCTACCAACAATGATGTCCGTTCCATATTTGATCCATACACCCAGCAGCACCAAATTTTGTGCGGTAGTCCATTTGGGGTTTTTCCTGTGAATATGAGTTGCATCCTCTGCATTAGGAGTGATTTCATTGACATCGCTAATGGTTTTAAGAGTTGTTTGTGTAGAAAATTTAGGAAATTCAATTATTCCAATATTTGAAACATTTTCATTATCCATGGTAGAAGAAGAATACATAGGTGGTGGAAATGAATACGGCAACACTGAACCATGGACGATAGTTTGGAACAGATAAAACCATAAGAAAATTTAAAGTTGGTACATTTTGGAGTTGGTTAAAACTGGAATTTTGAAATTGATAATTGTTGGGATTTGAATAATTCGTAGGATAATTTGTGGAGTTGTAAATATTAAAAAGATTATTGTTTTGATCCATTTGTGACAAAAAAAAAGAGAATAATAGCAATAAATTGTTAAAAACATTTTTTTCTATGTCCAAATCTAATAAACGAAACCTCTATTTATAGAGTATGAAAGTTATAAATTTTGATATGTTTATTTTTATGAAAATAAAATATATTATTTAATATAAGATAATTGATCTCTAAAGTTTGGATGAGATTAAAAAAAAAAAGTAAATCAGAATAACAAGTAGTATATGGTGACATTTGCACCAATTAAATTTATTGTTTTCAAGCAAGAAAAAAAATATAATATCGACAGTTTTTCTTCATTTGAATGGCTGAGAATGAACCAAAATTATCATGACGGGTTCCATTTTTTTCTTTCAACTTGAATCCACGTTGGTTTCCTCTATTATTCAACAGTTTCACTGTGGTTATTCAACTGTTAGAAATTTTTTTTCAAAGTCCATTGCAGGTAGTCAAAGGATAGTAAGACCACCAGGTAATAAATGCACATGACAAGTAGGTCCACATATACGACCAAGAATCTCAAGAATATTGGATTAAAACTTTGCCAAAGATTCAAAATTACAATAAGTGCATATTTATACACAGAAAAATTAGTATAGATTGGTTGACTGATTACATACGTACGTTGAGTAAGTCATGAGACAGATGTCATATTCTGAACGATTTTACATGAGAAATAACTAGGATAGTCATAAAACTTTATTTGTTACAAACATAGTACACAAAAGTCAAAATGACTAAAATATATATTTTATTAATAAAATACACTTATATCTCTACAATTAATTGATTTAAACATAAATTTTGATTTAAGATGGATTTTGGGAGGAAGTGAGGTTTAGGATTTATATATATATATATATATATATATATATATATATATATATGACTTAAAATTTAACAGAATAATTTTTAAAATATTACAAAATTATTCAAATTTCAAATTAAATTTGAAAAAATTGTAATTTTATTTTTGAAAAACGTAAAATTTCTGAACTGAATACTTTTTTGGAAAAATATATTTTATTATTTATTTATATTTATATTTTAAAAGTAAATAGATAGATGTTATTTAAATTTTAATAAAGTATCTTTTGATTCTTTTTTTCCTTGTGTATGCTTTTGGTAAAAAAACCTTTATAGAGTCTTTTAGTAGATTTGCTCATTTTACATTTTCATTTCGTTGGGATTCAAATACAGTGTGTCAAACTTTTGTAAACCACAGTTTTGACGTGTGCGTAAATTAGTCTCTTACTTTTGAAATGCAATAAACTCCGGATGCACATGCCTACAAAATTATTGGGGAGGTAATTAAAAAATGCAAAAATTTATAAATTTTATTGTAATTATTATCTTTTTAATTAAACATTTTAATCTTATTAAAGATTATCCTGAAGAAAAGGCTACGTATAATAAACATTTGTTCGGTTAACAATGTCTCAAGAGAGACATCGTCATATGAACAAGACAGAAAACTTCGTGTGAATTTGATGGCAGCCAACAATTTTATTACAGCACTCCATCACCACGGCTTGGCTGGAGTCTATGGAAAAACCGGAGACTATGAGGACGTAGGAGATTAGGCGTCAAATCATTCACCGCCAATCCACCGCATAAGAGTAGGCATATTTTGACTGATGTATCGATGCCTCCAGTTCCGAGCTCTATGAAGATCTTAGAGCAACATTAACACAAGTGCTTAATGGAGTGCTTAATGACTTTTGGATTTTTTTCTTTTTAAAAACATGTAATTATAGAACTACCACTGCTTAATCAGGCTTTAGAAGCAGCGTGTCTTATTGGGCACGCGTTGCCCATTCATGACACGTCCCCCTCTCTCTCTCTCT